ATGCCGCCATAACGTCGGATAAGAGTTTGTAACGCGGTTATAAAGTCGTGTGCGCTTTCTTTCGCACCTTGGGTTCTATTGCGGATGTCTTCTTCGAGTTGACGGTTTATATTAACCGGAAGGAAATATCTTTTGATGTCAAATTCGAAATCTTCCCAATAATGCCAATTACGGCGATTATTACGGTACCAGAGGATAGCTTTACCCTTTAGTAGCATGGGAAGACACGAGACCAAATTATCAAGAGGAATTTCGTATGTGAAACTAAGTTCGTCTATACGTTCGAGGAAATCCAATACGTTTCGCGTTCCGTCGAACGTAACTCCCCATTTACGGACCCGTTCAGCTAGGCACTCGGTCGTACGTTCGCGATGTATATCGTAATTTCTTTGGCCATGGATTGGTTGCGGTCTTTGGTACGGATTACGGTCGATGTGTTCGTTATTACGGCGGTGATTGTTTTGTTCTAATCTGTTCCTTTGATCGGGTGTTGGTTCGCGATTTCTTACGTAATTACGGGGAACATAGTCGCGTCGGCTTTCATCTCGATGAAAGGCGGGTGGGTCGACACGGGGGACGGAAGGGTTACGGACAGAGCGTTGTCCGCCGCGAACACTGCGATGTTCGGAATTTTGCTCACGGGTACGGTTGCTTATCGTTCTATCGATTTCACTATCGAAAATGCTAGCGGTACTGCTTGAAAGGAGACTAGTCCGCGAACTACCGGAATGATTAGAATGCCGTCCGCTTGCGATGTTATTTTGAACTATCACGTTGGGGTCTACATGATCATTATTTGTTAAGTTATCGTTCCGTGAATTTATTGTCCGCGTGGTTTCCATCTTAATAGTTTCACGCAACAAATTCCGTAGTTCCGAGAGAGCGAATCTGGGCGGCAATGGAACGAATCTTCGTCTTAATTCGTTTTCGAGATCTACTATACTCATTTTTGAAACGCGGGGTTTGGTTTGTTGATTCCTGTCGTCTGCCATTACTAATTTTTCTAAAGTCGATCTATGAAACCTGACATCGAGTCCCTGTTCGGGCGCCAAAATCTGTAACGTTTGTAATAATTGAATCTTCTTTAGCTCGCCGAGCCAGGGTTTTTTGATTCAAAAAAATATAATATACAATTACGGTTGATCACAAACAAACAATTTATTTATTTACAATACTATATACATCTATATAAGATTACTTGACATTTCACGTTAATCGGATTGTGGACCGATATCAAGTTTCATTTGTCTATTTTAATATATAAAATACCGTGCGATCGGTTTTGTTATATGAACAGAAAAAGATAGTAAAATGGTAGTGACGAAAACTATATTAACAATTATAACGGCGATCAGCTCGCAAACTTCGCGAAACATTTGCGGACTTAATACGGAACGGTAACATTAGTTATACGGAAATGCGAGTAATAAATAACGAAAGAAAATTAATTGCGGTCGATGCGAATCTCAGGCGAGTTTACTGATTATAACAATTAAGGAAAAGGAACGCGATGTCTGTTCGGGACTCGATTTCACCGGCGTCCATCGGGGTGTTGAGCCGCGGGGTAGAATCGGCTTCGATACGGGTCGAGCCGCGGAATTCAATCGGTCGGCGTTCAACTGGATATTTGGAGCCGATTGTAAAATCTTCTGCCCAGGTGATGATCCCTTTCCTCGGTGGTGGTGTTCAATTTTGAAGATCCTGAATTATCACGAGTAATACTCGTGATGACTTATACTAAGAGTAAAACTCTAAGTATATCTAATACCATGTTTAAAAGAACGAAAATATTCTACGTTAAAATCTACGTGTTCGAGTAATACTCGACATACATATATCGCTTAGAGTAAAACTCTATTAACGAAGAGTAACACTCTAAGTTATTAGTAAGGTAACACCTTACTGCTCCGAGTAATACTCAGTTCTGTGTAGAATTCACAATTTCTCCTCCTTTTATATCCGCTCGACCGGCTGGGCAGTGGTGGGGGCGAACGATTCGGATCGGGCGTCTGGAGGGAGAAATCTCTCGGTCTGCGCGGCGCTAGGTCGGTTCTGGTTTGCGGCGCGCAACTTTTCGCTCCGTGCAAAGGGGCCTTTCTCCACCGTCCGTGCCTTTGCCTGGGTCTTTTCGTTCGGTCTCGCGCTCTACAGTTTGCGTGCGCACGCCTGTCAGCTGATCTTCGGAAAATCAATAATCGGGACATTATTGATTTTACGCGTACATATTTATTTTTTTTCGGGAGTAATAATATTTATTAATATTCGTTTTCATATTACAGTGTATATTTTTCCTATTTACTTTAGTAATAGCTCTATGCTTTCTTTAAGGTTGAAACTGTCCACAAAATAATGACTGTATTATTGTTACTGAAAGAAATTTAAATTTTGAAAAATGGTTAATCAAAGATTAATAAAAAGTTAAGAGATTAGTACCACATCTTTTTAAAAAAAATCGACTTTCTGAAAACTACAGATTCTTGTAGGAGTATATGTAGAAATGATGTGGAAACGATTATTTTGATTGAAAACTTCGGTGACACATCGAAAAACGGGGTACAATGTAAAATTTACGCGCTCATGGAACATATAACTTGCACATAGTTTAGCCCTAGGGGTGAGTAATTTAACCACGAAGTATTGTTAGGTTTTTTCAAAAACTGTCGAAAAGGGAGGGGATTGAATTTTTTTGAAAAATTTAAACAGTGAATGTTTGAAGACTTGTAACTTTTAAACAGAAAGAAGAAGAAAAATTTGTCCTGTATGTTTTCGAAAGGTTTTTTCCTGCTCTTTCAAATGGTGGAAAAATTTTTTCGAAAAATTCATATTTTGACCCTTTTTTTGAAAATTAACATTTTTCGAATTTTTTTAAAGTTTGGTCCTTTTCATTTTATTTATTTATTTATTTTTAGTAGTATAGCTAGGGGGCTTCTACGCCAGGTTCTGATCTCGGCTAAGTACCTGCAGTCGGTAACTGCTTGGTCGGTAATGCAGATTTCTACTTTATCAGCAGTCGGTAAGGTAGGAATCTGACAAAAATTTCAACTCGACCGATAAGGTAGGAAACTGTTTTACCGACCGAACATTGAAGTTAGTTTACCGACCACCTAATAGATGGCGCTCACTTCAGAGTGTGTTGCCGACTTTAATTAACCTGTTTTATTAAACATTGAAGTTAGTTTACCAACCACCCAATAGATGGCGCTCACTTCAGAGTGTGTTGCCGACTTTAATTAACCTGTTTTATTGAACATTGAAGTTAGTTTACCGACCACCCAATAGATGGCGCTCACTTCAGTCTATTGTTTAAAACTTTTTTACTGAATTAGTTTACCGACCACCCAATAGATGGCGCTCACTTCAGTCTATTGTTTTAAACTTTTTTACTGAAGTAGTTTACCGACCACCCAATAGATGGCGCTCACTTCAGTCTGTATTTTTAATATTTTTTACTGAATTAGTTTACCCGCCATCCAATAGATGGCGCTCACTTTTATTATCAACTTTTTTTAGAAATTATTTTTTAATTAAAACTGTTTTACCGACCCAGTTAATTAATTTATTAAAGGTAAGTTGATAAAAACAAATTATTTAATTAGGTTCATCATATTTTGAAAATAAATATTATTTTTCTAAAAAAATATTGTTTAATTCAAACTGTTTTACCGACCGAGTTAATTATTTTATTAAAGGTAATTTGATATAAACAAATTATTTAACCCATTAAGCCCCAAATGCACTGGAATTTTGGTCTAACTTTAAGCTCTGATATTTGACCGAAAAGGTGAATATATTTTTTGGGCAAGCCATATCTGATGTATTTGGATGTGCTCTTTCCAAAAATGCTATCGAAAAAATTTTTTAAAATTGTTTATTATCATTTAATTGCAAAATTGCACGAATTTTTTACCATTTTTTATTCAAAATTTATAAATTTCGAAGGGAAAAAAATTTTTTTTGTTGCCATCAAGTCCATAAAACGTGCACTCGATTGTTCCACTTTAAGGAAATAATACACTTTTTTTCATTTTTGCTTTTATTTTTTCAAAATGGCGTCGAGAAGTACAAAAAATTGTTATATATACATTTCAATGAATAAAGTTTTTAAAAGTTTATCCAAATTACCTGAAAATGCTTACTCGGGGGTTTTTTGGGTCGCTGAATCCGAATTCGGTGTCAGAATTTCAAAATTCAAAATGGCGGATCCAATATGGCGACTAAAAAAATTAAAAAGTTGATAAATTTAGTTAAACATTGTTACTCGGGGGTTTTTGGGGTCGCTGAATCCGAATTCGATGTCAGAATTAAAAATTAAAAATGGCGGATCCAATATGGCGACTAAAAAATTTAAAAAGTTGATAAATTTAGTTGAAAATCCTTACTCGGGGATTTTTGGGGTCGCTGAATCCGAATTCGATATCAGAATTTCAAAATTCAAAATGGCGGATCCAATATGGCGACTAAAAAATTTGAAAAGTTAACAAATTTTGTTAAAAATTGTTACTCGGGGGTTTTTGGGATCCCTAAATCCAAATTCGATGTCAGAATTTCAAAATTCAAAATGGCGGATCCAATGTGACGAGCAAAAAATTTCAAAAGTAGGTCTTTTTGTTTTAGTTATAAGCCTTCTTGAATCATTTACCAATCTTCATTTACATTAATTCATCAATATGGTGTAATAATTTATATCTGACTATCGAAAGATAAACCACTTTTTGAATTGAAGCGTACACTCGAGTTGAAGTATCCAGAACTGCATGTGAAACATCGTGAAATAGCTTTGAGCATCCTGTATTTCTGTAAATTATCTTCAAATATCAGGAGTCGCTTCATATTTTACAAAGCATTGGGCTTATGCTCGATTTTGGACCATTAGTATGATAATATTTTTTCCATGCAAAATTGATTTTTCTTTGGTCTACCAGAGCATCTTGCAACATCTATAGTACCAAAAATAATTAAGTGTTTGGTTGAATCGTTGCACTTTATTTAGTGTTGTTAGGATGTCACGAAAAAAAGGCGCAGGTAGTTCTTTTGAAGCTTTAGAAAATCTCCCTTTATCTAAGCGGAAAAAAAAGAGTAAAGCTTTGGCCGAAGCTTTTGAATTTGAAGAAGATGAAACGTTTGTGGATGCTGTTTTTATTCCAAACCCTGATGAATCTGGTGAGTCTAGTTGTACTGATTCTGATTCTTCTGGTTCAAGCGATGTAGTGGATGGTTCATTTTTTCCAAAAGAGTCATATATCCAGAAATCTAAGCAGTATAATAATACTCAAAAAAAACTAGAAGAAAGCCACGAGTTTCTTTGGGAGAATGGGGAAAAAGTATATAAAGAATTACTGGAAAATAAAATATTATTGAAAGAAAATGATAAAAAAAAAATTTTAGAGAGTTCTCCTAAAGAAATTTTTGAGTATTTTTTTTCAGAAGATCTAAAAAAATATATTGTTGAAAGTACGAACGCTAATGGATTAGATCTTTCACTTGGTGAATTTGAGGTATTTTTGGGAATAATCATCTTCAGTACCTTCAATCAAAGACAATCTCAAAAAGATTACTGGTCATTAGATCCATTTTTGAGAGCTGAACCTGTTGCAGCAGCTATGAGTAGAAACAGATTTGAAGCGATAAAGTCAAAAATTAAATTTCATAAACCAAAAGAGAGCGATAATCAGAATTTTGATAAAGTTTGGCGAGTTCGACCAATACTGAATATATTCAGAAAAAACATTATGAAATTCGGATTTTATTCTACAGCTCTTTCCATCGACGAGATGATGGTAAAATATTTTGGGAGATGTAAACTGAAACAGTTTATAAGAACTAAACCGACCAGATTTGGAATAAAATTGTGGGCTTCATGTAGTTCTTCCGGATATTTGTATGATTGCGACATTTATTGTGGGAAAAATTTAGAAAAAGGGGATGTTTTAGCAAACTGTGCTTTAGGAAGCCGCGTTGTAGTTCAAATGCTCCAACAACTGCTGTCTAATATTCCTCCCACAAAACTCCTGCAGTATCATGTCTATTTTGACAATTTATTTTGTTGTCCTGACTTGTTGGTACACTTAAAAAAGATTGGTCTTCGTGCCACAGGTACTGTCAGGTCAAACAGAATAAAGGAAAAAAATAATATAAAAGACGATGCTCCTAGAGGGACTTACGCTGTTAAAAATGACAAACATAGTGGAATAAATTTTATTACACTTAAAGATTCAAAACTTGTCTCTGTCTTGTCAACAGCAGCTGGTGTAAGGCCTCTTACTTCTGTCAAAAGGTACAATAAGGAAGTAAAAAGAAAAACTGAAGTGCCATTTCCAAATGCTTTTAGTGCTTACAACAAGTTCATGGGTGGCGTCGATATTCATGACCAATACTGCAACAGAGTAATGCCCATCATGAGGTCAAAGAAGTGGACGTGGGTTATTTTTATTCGACTCATTCAGTCCGCAATTACAAAAGCTGTAATTTTGTCGAATGATGCTAACGAAGGCAAACAAAAAAGTAGCATTAAAGATTTTGCTATGAGCATTAGCAAGGAATATTTAAAAATAAAATGTAAAACACCTAAAATAGAAAAAATGAGTTCACAAAAGTATTGTTCCAACACAAAATGTAAAATAAGAACAAGAAAAGTTTGTAAAAGTTGTACAAAATACTTTTGTGATAAGTGCTTTAAAGTATTTCATGCATAATTAATAATAAATAAAAGGAATGGCATAATATGAGACGCTCCATGATAAATGGGACCTTAGCTGCAAACAAATTTTAGGTTATGTTTAGTGATAGTTTTAAATTAATTAAATGTTAATTTTTTATTACGTAAAACAAAAACAAGTTTTAATTAAATATTTTTTATCTAATGAGAACATAAACATTAGTAGTTTATATTAAGAGTTGATCCTCTTTGTGCATTTTCACTTTAAAAATCGGAAACATTAACTAAAATTTGTTTGCAGCTAAGGTCCCTTTCACCGTGGAGCGTCACATATTAAAATCAAGCTAAAAATCAATCCAATTTTTTAAAAAATTAAAAATACAAAAAAAATAAAAAAATATAAAAAAACAAAAAAAATTAAAAACTTTTAAAATTAACAAAAAAAAATATGATTCTCAGAAACCATCTACCTCCAAGTGGTGAGAATCGGGCAACACCCATTAAAAATAGGTGGCTAAAGGTGGTAAATAAGAAGCACTCAAATACATCAAAAACCTCTGTGTAAACATTTTCAACTAAATTTGTCAACATTAAAATTTTTTTGTCTACATTTTGGATCTGACATTTTGAATTTTGAAATTCTGATATCCAATTTAAATTTAGGGACCCTAAAAACTCCTGAGTAAGCACTTTCAACTAAATTTATCAACTTTTAACATTTTTTTGGTCGCCATTTTGGATCCGCCATTTTGAATTTTGAAATTCTGACATCGAATTTGGATTTAGGGATCCCAAAAACCCCCGAGTAACAATTTTTAACAAAATTTGTTAACTTTTCAAATTTTTTAGTCGCCATATTGGATCCGCCATTTTGAATTTTGAAATTCTGATATCGAATTCGGATTCAGCGACCCCAAAAATCCCCGAGTAAGGATTTTCAACTAAATTTATCAACTTTTCAAATTTTTTAGTCGCCATATTGGATCCGCCATTTTTAATTTTTAATTCTGACATCGAATTCGGATTCAGCGACCCCAAAAACCCCCGAGTAACAATTTTTAACTAAATTTATCAACTTTTTAATTTTTTTAGTCGCCATATTGGATCCGCCATTTTGAATTTTGAAATTCTGACACCGAATTCGGATTCAGCGACCCAAAAAACCCCCGAGTAAGCATTTTCAGGTAATTTGGATAAACTTTTAAAAACTTTATTCATTGAAATGTATATATAACAATTTTTTGTACTTCTCGACGCCATTTTGAAAAAATAAAAGCAAAAATGAAAAAAAGTGTATTATTTCCTTAAAGTGGAACAATCGAGTGCACGTTTTATGGACTTGATGGCAACAAAAAAAATTTTTTTCCCTTCGAAATTTATAAATTTTGAATAAAAAATGGTAAAAAATTCGTGCAATTTTGCAATTAAATGATAATAAACAATAATAAACAATTTTAAAAAATTTTTTCGATAGCATTTTTGGAAAGAGCACATCCAAATACATCAGATATGGCTTGCCCAAAAAATATATTCACCTTTTCGGTCAAATATCAGAGCTTAAAGTTAGACCAAAATTCCAGTGCATTTGGGGCTTAATGGGTTAATTAGGTTTATCATATTTTGAAAATAAATATTATTTTTCTAATAAATATTTTTTTAATTCAAACTGTTTTACCGACCGAGTTAATTAATTTATTAAAGGTAAGTTGATATAAACAAATTATTTATTTAGGTTCATCATATTTTCAAAATAAATATTATTTTTATTTAAAAAATAATTAATTTCATTTTTTATAAGTGAAATTGTTTATAAATTCTTTATAAACAATATAATTTTTATTGTTATTATTAGTCAACAAATTATTATTAATTTATTCCACTAATTAGTTCACTTAATTATTAAGTTCTTTACAAAATAATTAAATTTGGAATTTTAAATTTTAATTCTCTTCGCGCCTTCCTATGAACATGCGCAATGAGAATACATGTGAATCAGCCGTGGTGAAAAAAAATATGTGTGTTTCCCATCATAAAGACGCTGTCAAAATAAATGGACACTGTCAGAGGAGAAAGATGGTATGTATAATTATTCTTTATAATATCGTTTATTATTATTATTATTATATTAATTAAATGTTTAAATGAATCATTTTTCTTTTTAGGATGGTGAAAATAAAGAAAACCGGGACCCGGAGGGCTCCAGAAATCAGGTGGTAAGTGTTTATTTCAAAACAAATATTTTAACCTTTTTTTTTGTTTTGAATTTAATTAAATAATATAATATTTTTTTTAGGAAGCTGAAAATAAGGATGTGGGCCAACAGGCCCAGGAAGCGGAGGAGGCGCCCCAAATAGTAAGTACTTTTCATTATTAAAATTTAATTATATTTACATTTTTTTTTATTTATTTACTTTTGTATATATATACACACTAAACTCTATATTTCTAAAAATGCTGTCTGCCATTGAAAGTCGCGAGTAGAGAGAGAGGTCTGATTCTTGTATACCTCTCCTTCTCTTGCTAAACCACGCAGGCGTAGTACAATACGTTCCAAAAGTTTACTGTTAACTGTGTTATATCATGTTCACGTATACATACTGTTAAATATTTTCTAATGGACCTGTACCGACAAAGAGGGGAATACAGAAATCAGACCTCTCTCTCGGCTCGCGACTTTCAATGGTAGACAGCATTTCAGATATATAGAGTTTAGTGTGTATATATATACAAAAGCAAAGTTATGAATAAAAGGTTATGGTGAATAATCTTTTTAAAAATTTCGGGCTTAATGCTTGAAACTTGTTACGGGAGAGGGGGGGGGAAGTTTAAGTGACGTCATTTTAAATTTCAAAATGGCGCATATTTTTTTTAAATTTTAGGCGGAATGCCTGAAACTTGTTACCGTGGGGTTTTCGGGGTCGCTGATTACGAATATGACGTCAGAATTTTAAAATTCAAAATGGCGGATCCAATATGGCGAATATTTTTTTTTAAATTTCAGGCGGAATGCCTGAAACTTGTTACCGTGGGGTTTTCGGGGTCGCTGATTACGAATATGACGTCATAATTTTAAAATTAATTTTTTTTTTAGGTTGAACAGCCTCAACAAGCTGCTCAAGTTATAAGGGTCCGTCCTCTGGTAATAATAATAATAATAATAATAATAATAATCATGATAATAATTAAAATTTTTTTTTGTTTAGCATGAGCTTACTGGTCATAATCCATGGGATCGTAGGCCAACGAGGCCTACGATGCCCACCATGCTCCCTCCACTGCACAGATGGTTCATGTTTCCACTCGAACCATCTGTGCGGCAGAATCAGCCTAGAGCGGCTGTTGAGGAGGTCCCTGGGCGGCTGGAGGAGGTCGCCCAACACATGCGCCAGAATCCACCCCCTCCCTCACGCTCAAGTATTGTTATTGAGCCCCTACCCATGAGAGGGAGGAGAGGCAGAGGGCGAAGATTCGCGCCGTATAAAACGGCGGCGACGCGCAAACGATAATTTTTTTTTATTTTTTTCTTTTTTTAATAGTTTTTTTTCTTTTGTATACAAATACTAACGTTTTTTTAAATATTTTTTTTTCGTTAAAAAAATGATTTTTTTTTTATTTTTTATTTGTATACATTTTTAAAAAATTTTTTTTTTTGCATGCTTTTTTTTAACCTTTGCGTTACCGGGAGCCACCCGGGGTGACCCAAACGTTTTTTTTACTAGTAATATTAATAAATTTTTTTTTTTATAAAGTTGATATATATTAGAGTATATTTTAAATATTTTTTTTATCGCCGGGTCACCCCGGGTGGCTCCCGGTAACGCAAAGGTTAAATGTTTCTTATATGTATATATATATAGTGTTTTTTTAAAATATTTTTTTTGAAAAAAAAAACAATTTTATTTTATATATGTATATATGTATATATGTCTTTTTAATATATTTATATTTTAATTAAAAGTTATTTTTTTCCTATCCTTAAATTTAACATAATAATTAATTCTTAAACTAAACTTAACCTAAAATAATAATATAAATATTAGATTATTTTCTTTATTATAGAATTATTTTTTTACATAAATTTATACAAAATTAAACTTGTTTTAATTTAAATTCAATATGATTATATGGACCACCAATATACTTGAGGCGTAATTGTCCAGCATCAATAGCTTCTTGCATTTGACTGAAGCAAATGGAGTTGTCAGCGAACATAGGTACAAATCGTGAAGGTAAGAAAGGATTAAATTTTCCATCCACTTCAACGACTATCTTTTCTCCATATTTTGTGTTGACAAACTGGATTTTGGTAATAGGATACTTATGTCCAGGAGTCAACTCTGAAAGCGGTTTCGTAGGCAGGAAACCTTCCATACGACCAACAGCATTTATTTTACTTAGATCCATCTTTAAAGACTAGACGATATCTGAGAAAAAGAATGAGCAAAACTGCTCATCCACGCTAAATTTATACCTAAAATTTTACTCGCGCATGCGCAATAGCTTAAAGCCCCCCACCCTATTCTATCCAATTGCGCACGATCATTTGAATAACCACGCCCACTTTCATAGTACGCATGCGCGTTCAATTTTGATTCTATGACGTCACAAATACATGTCTAGACAAGTTTAAACATGTCCAGACGTGTGTAAATGAAAAATTTTATACAATTTTTTTATAAATAAATATAAACAATTTTAATTATTTTAAAAAAACATTTATTTACAATGACAATATACATTTATGGACTTAATAAAAAGTGGTCACAATTATTATAAAAATCTTGTAATGTTGAATTATTATCAACTTCATCGTGACCTAAAGGAATATTTGTCGGTACATTAGATGGTTGTAGTAACCATTTGCGAATATTATATACATTTTTTACAGAACAATGGAAATTATTGTGTGTGTGATTTGTACATGGAGTATATTGATCTAAGGCTAATTTTTTCAACGACGGACAATTCAAATCATCTAAATTTAATACATTTTGTGTATAGCTTTCTAACCATTTTTGTTTCTCTAAACCTTTTACATAAACTGTAGGTGTACCTATTAATATTTCTTTCAGAATTGGTTGTAAATCTTCATAAGGTATGTCACCAGCATTCCAATCAATACCATGATAATTAAATGCAGTCCATCGATTTTGACTCTTGTATCTTCTCGGTAGGCGGCTCCAGGCATATGGCGGCTCGAAGAGGAACACCAATGGATGAGCATCTTCTTGAAGTGGGATGATTGCTAGCTCTTTTATGATAAACTCGTTATAAGGTCTTTTGAAGCACTGGAAATCTACGACGTACGCCATGGTATCTATAACAGATAAATGACTTTAGCCTCTAAGAGTTGCTGTATTTATACTCTTATCTCCACTTTTTTACCATTACCCCCACTACTCACTTTTACCCCCACTCTTTACGATACTTTCTTCACAACATTACTGATTGGTGTGTATTGAATAATTCGATCATGAATAATTAAACAATAAGCTGCTGTATTGTCTGGAAAATTTTC